ACGAACCTATAGTTCGTAAGCAATTTACAGTGCATCATGTCACATTCGTTATACTGTAAGTGGCTCAGGCAGGGGAGAGTGGGGCACATTGGTCCGTTCATGTGACAATCTAGAAATTATTTTCTTTTGCCAAGTTTTAGTTTGGGTCTTACTTTACCTCAGAAAATTGGTCGCAACACTTTTCTGTGGGTACAGACTGAGGAAAACCGAAACCCGCAGAGGCCTGTTCGTGGACCAAATTCCCCCCTGGGGCACACTGAGCCGAAGTAAATAAGTTGTCGACAACAACGAAAGCTTTATCCCGAACACCATTTGGGTGTGTAAGTGTTATTCTAAGAAGAACATACCAAGTGGAAAAAAGATTTCAAAATACTATATGAATTAGTTGCAAGACGGCTCAAACTGCCCCAAGGGTAGCAAATTCAATCAATGGCTCCAAAAGATATCTGGATTGTCCTAACCTATCGGACACTGGGTGCAATATTTTGCTAAAAGAGTAAGTAGGCTTTCCCATAAAACTTGGTTTGCAACCGAAAATTCGTGTGATGTAGCTTGAAATGGGCTATTTGTGCAGTAAACACGTTTTACTTTACCCTGATTTTGAGGTTAAAAAATATTTATCCCCTCGCCAATCCGATTGTTGCCAGCGAACTTTGTCACACCTTTCAGAAAATCAGTCAAGGTGTTAATGGCTTCTTCTGTGGTTTGAGTCAGGTTACTGCGATTGCTCTTTCCTCGTGAAACTTGGTGGTGCACCAATGTGCCCCATGGTCCAATGTGCCCCACTCTCCCCTACGCTCACCATGCCTTAGCGAATTCCAACTTTTTAACGTGCACCTGCTTAACACTAGAAGGACCGGAGGGGTCAAAATGACCCCTTTTGATTTTCAATCGCCAAAGGAACAACGAATTATTTTTTTTTGACCGATTCATCACCTTCCGACTTTTCATGTACTACCGAAAGACGCTTGGACGCAAAATATGAGGTCTCTGCGACAAGCACTTTCGAAGATATTACTACTTACACCTAGAAGGACCGAGGGGTCATTTTGACCCCTTCTCGAGATTTTATAGATGTAAACTGACGAGCACTTACTTTTCCTTCATAAGGCTGACAGTATTTGTTATGTACGGTGTCTTATGACTTCATGTGACACGTTTAACTCCCTAATTCGGCTAAGGTAGGCAACACGCACGCCACAAAACCCCGTTTCTAAATCACATCACATCCAAGGCTTTGATGATAGTTGCGTCACCGGAAACATGTTCCGATGGGAAAGGGGGCGTCTAGCACAAAGTATGGATGGTTTTTGAGAATGCCCAAACTGCCACGCACATTGTTGTCAATGCCAAATTGGTAAAAAAACACAATGTTTTTGTATGGATTACACTACTGCTTTTGGAGTACTTATGTGTTCTAAAAATCACGCACTTACAAATGTGTACTAAGTCAAATATTAATTTTGAAGTTTAAATATGTCTAAAATCGTGAAAACAGTTTGCAGAAGTAGCAGTAACATTGCAAAAAAATGGTTTTACGCCGTACGGGTTGCCTACCTAAACGCACTTTAAACCTAACCAATGTCACCTTATGGCATCAGGTACCTTGAAACAGACAAAACCTTAAACATGTGCGGTAAAACTGCAGCCTCTAAGCCATGAAAACGGCCAAAAGTCGTAGAGGGGTCGAAATGACCCCTCCGGTCCTTCTAGGTTTACCAAAATCCCGGTCCTTCTATTTTAAGACGATATCTCAAACCGTTTGCGAGATATTGTCGAAAAACTGCAATAGCCAATCTTGGGCCATTGAAAAACGAGGACTTCTTGTAACCAATGCGTACCTTGTCGTATTGGTACATCATGTTGTTGACATGCAGGTCGTTGTGTATGATGGTGTATCCAGGGCCAGCCAGCGGCCCCATTAGCGCAATGCTATCCTCCTTGAAAGCTCCGAAAAGCTTCTTAAGTCTCGTCTGGATATCGCTGCCTTCTGGGAACTTGTCCTGTACCACATCTAAGGGTTGCAATTTAAGTATTAGTCGTTTACCAAATTCTACTCCTTCCGCCTTTTGAAACGGGGGCCGCGTCTGCCTAACAGCTAACTTAGTCAACTATTGTAGTTCGCTCTACTAACGCGCGTGCCATGGCACTCTCGTACACAGACTAGGTCGTTATAATGCAGAAAGACGCCAGGCAATAAGAGGCATCAAAAATCTAAAGGGTGTCATTTGAGTGTGCCACTGAGGGGTGTCACTCAATCTCCCGAACAGTGGGATCGTTCAGTTATAAAGAATTGTTTACGTTTTTGCGGGAAAAGAGGTGGGGGATGGGGGGG